TTTATTATGTACTTTCAAGATAAATATTAAAGAGGAACAACCTCTAGCAAACTCACAAATTAGCCTGAGAAATAGTCTTGCTTAAACAGTAGTCACTTTTGACTAACAATCATCTAATGTATCTACATTCATGAGGCAATGTGGCATAATAGAAAGCGAACTAAACATCAATTTATAGAAGTGTTTGAATCCTAACTCTGTGACCTTCAGCAAATCACAATTTTTCTGGGCCTCAGTTTCCTCACTTGAAAAAGAAGGAGGTTGAATTAGATGATCTCTAAGGTATTTTTGTACACCCTTTATGTTGCTTATAAGAATTACCATGACTTAGCACACTGTTTCTGGTTTCTGTTTCTGTAGTAAGTGATTTGCTTATCTATTTAATCCTCCATTATTGCCATTCTCAAAATGAAAAATCTAAATTTCAACAAATATTGATTAACAACCTACTATGCAGAGAGTACAATACAAAGTCCTGGAGAACATACAAATATGAAATAAGGAAAAGTCTTCACCTCAAAGAGTTTGTAATCTCAAAGTTTATGATTATGAGTGTAAAAAGTTTATGAATGCTTACAACATACCAGTAAATGGAATTTTCAGAAAATAAATGTGTCATTTGTAAAATACAGTGTAATCAAGATAAATAATTAAAACAAATCTACCCTATTTAATATTTTCACAAAAAACTTCTCATCAGCTTATCTGAGAATGAGTTTTCGTTTTAAAGAATTTTTATTTATATATTACTTAAATATACATAAATCTATCACAGTGTTCTGATATCCAATAAGTTTTTAAATTCATAACAGTTATTGTTCATATTTGTACTCTTGATGACATTATTATTATAAAAAGCAAAAAATAGCTGATTACTTAAAACACCTCTCCTCCCTAAAAAGCCTCATTTTTCAATAGCTGCTTTCTTGATAACATTTAGATCTAGTATATAACTGGTTCTAATCCACCTTGAACTTGTTGATTAATTTTGACAATAACTAATGTAAGATGATAAATTATTAATCATAACTACTGAGTTAATTTCTATGGTTTCACATTTCAATATGAAATGTTTATTTCTTACAGCACCTGAGACATAATAAGCACTTACTAAGTGCTTTTTGAGTAACTAACTCTACTTTTTGTAAATGGAGAAAAAGAGATAATTTTAGAAGTATGAGAAATGACATTTTTTTAAAAAATGAGACTTATTGTGAATATCAATGAAGTGTTAAGATTACCTGCAAATACAATACCTACTGAAAGTCTACAAAATCATCATGCTAACCATAACTCTCTTATGTCCAAATTCAGGTTTAAAACAGAAAATACTACCTTCAGATTAGTCATTAGTTACCAGACTATCTTCAATATCTACTATAATCATAATAAAGAAGGAACAAGAAGACATTCAGAAATTACACTTTATAACACTGTATGTAATCTTCCTTTCTGGGAAATCAACATATAAGTTACTATAAAATATTTCAAAGCTATATGATCTTTTTTCAAAAGGTAACAGTCCTTCAACATAAATTTCCCTGATTAATTGATCTTCATACACACACTATATCTCATATTACAGTTTAAAATGTGCCTAAAATATTAAGGAGAAAAATTAAAACATTCATACTAAGTTAACCATCTGACTTCCAAATTCCTAAATGATTCAAAAGATCAAGTCAAAATGAAGTACTTAAAGCAAATACTGACCTTCTTGCTGAAATGATTTTAGAAATCACCTCACATTGTATAAATATTATCACTATTGTAAGAAAATTTCAATACATCATATACTAAATTGCTGAATTCAAAACTGGAGAGATTACAAAAAATGTCTATCAGGTAAAAATCTCAAAGTACAAATGTTATCCGTCAAACAGACTTTTAAGAGGTATATGAAGACATCATACAGAACAAGATTTAAACTTTTTTCATTGACTCCTTTGGCAATTTAGGGAAACCTATGGATTTCAGAAAAAGGGTTTTCAATGCATAAAATAAAATACATAGAATTTAAAAAGGAAGCTAATCATATCAAAATAGTTATCAAGATAGAAAAAAATAAAAATCAAATTCACAGACCCCATGTTAAGAACACCTGACATAGAAGAATCAAGTCAGAGTCTTTAAAAAAAATACAATTTTATCATAAAATTGAAAATACTCTTAAATATAAAGAGTTGTTACTAAGGCTTTTGTAGGTGGACCATAAATTCACAGTACAACTTAGAATGCCAAAAAACATTATTATGAAAGCAAGGCCTACTAACTGAATTTCACTGGGCATGAAACATGGTACTTATAAAGATTAGTAAAAATGAATTTCAGTTATTAAAATTGTCATGAAGTTCTTACAGATACAAATATGTACAAGACTTGATTCTCTCTCATAGTTTTTCAAAAAATACATACCTTACTGAGCAGAGTTAACTTGGCTCATTTGAAGTTTATATATATATATATATATATATACACATTTAAACATATAAGAGACACAAAATTGTTCCTCCCCATGCTTCACCTTCCCACAAAGAAATATCAGCAGTTTTTGTCTCCATACGTAGTTTTTTTTTTTTAGAGAGGAAGGAGGGCAAATACTTGTTTGACAAAACCTTTTACCAACTCTTCCAAAGCTGTCCCTTCCTCTTCACCCTACTGACACAGTCTTACTTCAGGCTCTAAACATCTTTTACCAAGATTAAGACTACATTACCAGCAATTACCTAGATTACTGCAACTTCATCTGGGAACTCTTCATCTCCAACTATTCCATATTTCCACTGTAAAAGTTATCTCTCTGCTTAACATTCTGACTATGCCATATGCTTGTCCCACTAAAGATTTATGGATCCTTAGCCTCTGCTTCAAAAGTTTTTAGATAGATACCCCTAGAACTACTCAATCCCCCCCCTACAATCTTCTACCTTTCTACTTCTCTCAAGTCAAAAATACTCAATATTTCTTTCAAATATATAATCCACATTATTCAAACTTATACCCCCTTTTCACAATTCAAGCTCAATTGTACATAATATCAATAAAGTAATTGTATACTTAGCAAATTTGTTCAGTCGTTTGCAGCTGTCAGCATTTTTAGATTGCAAGCCCCTAAAGGGTAAATACTGTATCTTTGCAGATACTTTGTACAATGCTTCTATACTTTTACTAAATATTCCAGCGTCCATTGTTAACTCCTGATGCTGGTTCTCTTACAAGGCTTAACATTCAGAAGGTACAGTGTAGGATAAACAGAAGAACCAGTTTACATTCAATCACAGATAATTTTGCAGTCAGATTCTTTGTTTAACTTCACTAATTCCAGGAAACCTTGATGAATCTCAATGCCAGTTAACAGTTTCAGCACCAAGAGGAAAGAACAGCGCACCTTCCGACTTGGGGATTTCATTCTGTAAAAATCATTTGGAATAGCTTCTCTGCCAGGGAGCTTTCAATAAGAAAAATTAAACAGACCCAAGTGTCAGCATCACTTACTCAGAAGGGAGGGTATCCCTTTCCACATAATGAAAATAATCAATAAGCGCAAGTCTGAATTAAAAAAAAAAAAAAAGCCGGTACTTTCGGGTCTCTTTCCACCCAGCAGGCTAAGAAATTTTTCTACCTAAAAATAAAACGAATTGTAATGACTTTAGTCCTTCCTACAGCACGATCTGATCCTTGCCGTATCTGGACATACGGCGGGAAGGGGAGAAGAGGAGCTAGGATTCCCATCCACATCCTAATTTATTTTCCCTAAGTCTCAAAACCAGAGGTTCATCACTGAGTCTGCTTGTGTTTCCTTCAGGCCAAATACCAAAGATGAGTCCTTTAACCCATCTCTTTATTACACAGAAACACAACAATTATAGAAACCAAAGCACAACAAAAAACCTCCAGAAATTATTCACTTGCTATTTATTTATCCTGGGAGTCGTGTCCTGCAGCAACTGCCTGCATATCGCCGAACAGAGGGTTATTACCCAAATATAACGCAACCGAATCAGACATGCAGAGCACACACAGCCTTGGAGAGGGAGGTAAACGCGGGCCAGAGGAAAAGTGCGCCTTTTACCAGCCTCTGGACCTTCCACCAGTTGGGGGATGGGGGTATGTGTGTTAAAGAGGACTGGGGGAATCCCGAGCCAGATGGGGGCTGGAGTGGTAAGAGAACAGGATGAGACCCCCTTGTCGCTGCAGAGTACAAAGCTGTTGGAGAAAAATGAGGAGGGTGGAGAGTAAAAAGAATCCTTTCTCAAGGAGGCAAAATGCAGATTCCATCACCTGTCCTCATGCAAGGTGCTTCCTCTCCTCCCTAGGGGAGCGACCCGCCAAAAGGTGACAGGTGGGGTGGTAACAGAGTTTGGCCAGGCGAACACTCTCGGTCGTGTCCAGCTAAAGCGTCAGTCAACCATGGCCGGAGCAGCACCGCGGCCGCCGGGTGGAGAGAGAGGGTAGGAGGGAAGGAAAAAATCAGGGAAGGGGCAGGCACTGGATCTCCCCCTACTCCCCCCAACACACACACACACACACACACACACACGCACGCACGCACACATACACACACACACACACACACACCGGGAGGATGCGCTCGGGCCGGCGCGGGGCGCACGCGGGGCTTCCCGATGCGGGGTCCCAGCACGCCGGGCTCCCTCCCTAGCCGCGCGCTCGGTACCCCGCAGCGCCAGCCCCCGAGCTCTCCCAGGAGGCCGGGGACTCCGGCTCCGGCGTCGGTGGCGACAGCGGCAAGCGCCGGGCCCTGACACGCTGCGGGGGCGGCAGCAGCTCCCAGGGGAGAAGGAAGGGGGGGAGACCCCCGGGGATACCCCAACCCCCGGCAGCGCAGCCGACTGTCAGTCAGTCCCCCCCCTCCACCTCCGCGATCCCCCCCGCCTCGCTTCTCCCAGGGGCCGCAGAGAGGAGCCACAGCCGGCGAGAAGCCCGAGGCGGAGCCCGGGAAGTGGCCGAGGGGGTCCCAGCATCCCCCACCTGCCGGTTACCTGTGAGGACCCCGACACGGATTTGGTGGTCGTGGTTGGTGAGGATCATTCCCTCGGTCGCCATATTTCCCAGCGCAGTCACCTCACAGGCAGGAGCCGAGAGAAACTCAGGGCCCGGAGCGCGCGGGGCCGGGAGCGCGCGAGTGAGCGGGGATGGAGCGCGCGAGCGAGGAGGAGGGAGGAGGGGGGAAGGAAGAGGAGGAGGAGGAGGAAAAGGAGGAGGAGGAGGGACAGGGAGGAAGAGAAGGAGGAGGAAAGGGAGGAGGAGGGAAAGAGGGGGGGCGTGGGGACTAGAGGCGACTCGGCACTGGCGGCCGCGAGGGAAAGGACGAAGAGGAGGAGGAGTCAGAGCGCGTGACTAGGGAGATTGGGGGGGTCGAAGGCTGCGAGCGGGGCAAAGAGCCGCGAGAGGCTGCCTGGCAGCCGGGGGGGGGGGGGGAGTCGCTGACGCGCGCGCGTGCGCGCCTTGAGCACCCGCGCGATCGGAGTCCGGGCGGGAACTGGAGACTCCTGAGAGAAGAGCCCCGGCCAGGCGGGAGGCTGGGACAGCAGCAGCAGCTAGGATCTCACTCTCGGGAGGCGGAGGACTTGGGGTGGTCTGTCGGAGAAGTTGGAGACTCCGAGAGCGCGTGTGCCGGTGGGGAGTTTCCGGGGGTGGCGGAGGTGGCTGGGCCGGGGTTGGCGGGGGGGCGGAGTCTCTGCTCGGGATGAAGAACCAGTGGGAGCGTGGAGAGGAGGTGGTGAGGGGAGTGACTGAGGGACTGCACGGGTTAGAGAACCTGCACGAGCTAGAGACCGAACGTGGCCCCGCGCGCAGTGGCGCGCGGCCCGTGCCAATCTTTGCCTGGTAGGCCGGGGTGGAGGCGGGGCGCGCGGAAGCTAAGTAGGAAATTGACGCGGGAGCGCGCGGAACGGTCATTCTAAAAGGAGTCCCAGACAAAAGCAATCCTTCGCCGAGCAGAGTTTTTTTTTTTTTTTTGTGGAAGATGCCACGGAACTCTCTCCCTAGTCCCCATCCTGTTCCTTTTGCCAGAGCGGTTGGGGGCAGCGCAGTCTCCGCCTTGGAGATCCCAGGAGGGTGTTTTGAGAACACGAAGGACCCCTTGCATGTGGGATAATCGAGGCGTAGGTTTCCTGTGGGCTGCACGCACTGCCCTTGGGGAACTGTCGCCCACTCCCCGGGAGGCGGGGGAGAGCCCTGTGGGGAGCCTGGAAGAAGCTTTGAAGGTTGCGTGGGTGGGATGAGAACGTCGAATACTGGCGGCACGGAGACGCCTGGGAGAAGAAGGTATCTCTTAGACAACCTGGTTTCTTCAGCGATGCACATTGCAGTGGTTCCTGGGCATCCCAGCAGCTTCGTGATTTAGCGTCATTTCTCTCCTTTAGCACTCCTGACATTCCTTGGGTTTCCCATGCAGAAAAAAAATGAGGAATAAACCTATTTACCGAAAGGAATGTTTGATTAGAGAGAAAAGAAAATGCATGGCTCTAGACAAGGAATTTTTAACCTGGGGTCTGTGAATTGGAGTCTATTACATATATGTACATATATACACATTGATGTAGATACACGTGTACATATGCACATTGTGCATGTGAATGCATATGTATACACACATGTACATATGATATAACTCCATGTAACTGGTTCCTTTATAATTCTATATAATGCATTTTAAAACTTTGGTTTTGTTTTTTTGTTTTTTCTCAGAAGTGATCCATAGACAGCCAGAAGGCACCGTGACACACACAAAAAATTGAGATCCCCAGTTATAGGCCCTCCCAATCAAATTGGAAATGGAATCCAGACCTTCTGAATTCCAGTTTAAAATCATTCTGTTACTGTTTAAGTGATATTATGACCTAATGAATTATCACAAAGATAAAATCTGGTAATAATAACTAGCATTTACATAGCATTTAAAGATTTGCAAAGCACTGTGCACATATCTCATTTTATCTTGACAACCCTATGAGGTAAGAGGAGGACACTGAGGCTGAGAGAGGTTAAGCATAGTTTCACAAAGCTAGTAAGTGTCTGAGGCAGCATGTGTTTGAACTCAAATCATTCTAAGTCAAAGTTCAGCACTCTTACCCACTGATCTATGCAATTGCTTTTTATTTTCTTGTGCTTTCTATAAAATATGTAAACCCATAGTTATTTTTTATTATTCTCAATCACTCTTCCCTGCTGTGTTGGCACTGGGGATACAAATAAAGGCAAAAGAAAGTCCCTGCCCTCAGGGAGCTGGTAGTCTGGCTAGATAAAAAATATGTGTAAATAAGCTAACACTAGAATTAGAGGGGTTGGGAAAGGCTTCTTGTGAAAGATGGGATCTTAGTTGGGTCTTAAAGCCAGAGAAAGTCATAGGCAGAAAGCATTCCAGGCCTGGAGAGTAGTGTTGGGGAGTAAGGGAGACTTGGAAAGGTAGGAAGGGCTTTGAATGCCAGAGCATTTTGTTAACTTTACCAGATCTGCAATTTAGGAAAATGATTTTTATAGTTGAATGGAGTATGGACTGGAGTGGGAAGACAACTGAAGCAGGCAGACTCACTATAGTAGGCTATTGCAATAATCCAGGTATGAAGTGATTAGAGCCTCCACAAGAGTGGTGGAAGTGTCAGAGAGAAGGGAACATACTGGAGAGATGTTAACAGAATTGAAATCAACAAGCCTTGGCTGGGGGAGGGGGGGTTGTGAGAGATAATGAAAACTGGAGGATAACATCTAGGTTTCAGTCCCCAGGGACTGGGAGGATAATGTCCTCTACAGTAATAGTGAAGATGTGGTGGGTGGGGGAGAGGTTAGAGGGAAAGATAATGAGTTCAGTTTTGTCCTTCACTTTTTCCTAATGGCATGATTTTTTAAAAAAATCTGTTCTATTAAAAAATATTGAGGTTGGAAAAAAAAACCCAACATACCATTTTAAGGGAAAACATTTTAGTGGAGTGTTTTTTAGAAGCCTTTTGAGGTTAATTCTGCTTACTGTGACCCACACTTTAAACTTGTTTGTACATGTGTAAGAGCTCACAGTTAATATGGTGGTGAATGAATTATTCCAATGGAGCAGAGCCAATATTTTTACATTGTTCAACTCTAAAGATTCAATTGGGTAGGCCCTTAGTAAATGTTTAGCTCCATTGAGATAATGGAGGGAAACATAAGTGGATTTTATACTTATATAGCCCCATGTTGTGTATGTATGTATATGTGAAAATACTTTTTTCACAGATTAAAATGTCAGATGGGTATAATGAACTCAAAACTCATCTATCACTAGAGTCATCTATTTATAGATATAATCTCTGAGAATAATTTTCTCTATTTCAAACCAAGTAAAAAGAGTAAAGAGATACACACCTTAGCAAAATATCCAAGTTGTTTTTCCCCCTTTTAGTGAATGTGAAATCAACTAAAAATTTTAATTTCTCACTTGGAAGGTGCTAGTTAAAAAGACCTGGGTTGTAGTCTCAGCTCTTCTACTTGCTAACAGTGACTTTGGACAAGTCAAGCTCTGGATCTTAGTTTCCTCATCTATAAAATTAGGAGGTGGATTAGATGGTCTCCGGTCACACTCTAGTCATATAATTCAATGTTTTTATGCAGAAATTAGTTGCTGCCTCAATTATATTTAACAAAAGTCAGATACAAAATAGCAATATCTTAAGATCATGGGCTTTCTTTGTTCTTTGTAAAGTCTTTAGCCAAATGCTAAGCCTAATGAAATCTAGTAAAATTGATTTGAGAATGAATAGAAAATTTATCTTAAACTTTAATACTTAGGCAAAAATTTTATATCCCTGACATTTTAAGCAGTATGTTTTTGTAGCAAGTGTTTGTGTTAGAATTTATCATTAATAGAATTCAGTTCTGTATACATATGTCATTTATAATGCCAGTGATCTCTGGGAAAATTCAATAAGCTTTAACAAATAAAATATTATAGAAAAATTAATTCATTGGCCTGATTATTAGTGTGACTTCCTGTTACTGATGGTTACTGTATGAACCTGCAAAATGTCATCCAATGCCAAATATATATTCCTTCCACCAAACTCATTTCTTTTTCCAATGGTGCATTCTGGCATCACTCCTGAATTCCTTCAGGGAATTAAATGTATTAGATCAAAATAAAATTATTTGAGAAATAAAAAGGAAGGTGAATCCTATTTTCATCCAAAAACATCTTAGAAGTTATAATGTAGAAAATTAACCTGGAAGGGAAAGTGAAAAAATAAATCTGTATGTAAAGAGTTAGAATTGAATGAATACATTTCCTTCCCCTTTTAAAAAAAGGCTTCTGCAATAGAAAGATAGATACCTAGGTGTATATTGGCTGCCAAAGATTTAAAATGGAGAAAAGATCATACTGTGTAAATGTGCTATCTTTCATTGGAAAGATAACTTTCTTCCTACAGAATATGTGATTTAAGTTTTTTCTAGAAGGAGTACTAGGTTTGCATTGTTGTGAGGAAAGCACTTTATGTTTTTTTTTTGGTTTATTTGTTTTTCAGGCAGTTGGAGTTAAGTGACTTGCCCAGGGTCACACAGCTAGTAAGTGTCAAGTGTTTGGTCTGAGACTGGATTTGAACTCAGGTCCTCCTGACTTCAGGGCCAGTGCTTTATCCACTTCACCACCTAGCTGCCCCCAAGGAAAGCACTTTGAAAATTTTAAAGTATTATAAAAATATTTAATTGTGAATTGAGCTGTGTGTTTTAGTCTTAGTTCCCTGACCTCTAATCATTAAGCACGTATTTTCAAGATTATTGCAATATACTGGAAAATCACAGAATTTCAAAGTTGGAAGAGACTGTAGCAGTCATCTATTCCAACCCAGAACAACAAAAATCCTTACTACCACACATAAAAAAAAAAAATTGGTCATCTAACTTTTCCTTTAAGACTTCCAGTTAGGGGGAGCCCACTATGTCTTAAGGCATCCCATTCCATTTTTGGATAGCTTTAAATAGTTAGATTTTCCTTACATCAAGTTCACTTCATTAGCACCATATACATATATGAGATGGGGGAGTAGGTTTGATTTTTTTTTTTCACCTCTACAAGAATCTTCACATACTCAGTTTTGCTTTTAGGGCCCCTCACCCATGGATGACATTAGATACCCATCAGGGGTGGTCCCACA